CCTTGCTCCACCCTTGTCCTCTCCCAAACAAGTGACCTGTCCCCAGTTATCTTTTTCCCGCTTGCTCCCAGGTTTGACATGTCTGTGAACCCATTTGGTGTTTCACGTGCCATTAGCTGGGTTGCCTTGGACTTCCACGGCATCACCAATGCAGTTTCCTGGGTACCAGTGTCCCTGATAGATTCCTCTCCCCAAAATTACCCCAACTCTTTCTTCAAGTGTGGCCACCTCGCACATCAATTCCCCTGAAATACCTGTGAAATCCAGCTCTTCCTCGTCGAACTCTTAACTCCCGTCAGCTTCTCACCCAATTTGCTACAGGCACCCAGTTCTCTTGCCATGCTCAGGAGTTTCCCATGGTCTGTTCCATGAGCTAAGGCTTACGCCAGGCCCTAAGCATTCACTTGCATGCCTTAACACACGCCCCCAAAGCTGTCTGCGTGGCAGGTCATTCTCTCCTGTCCTCTTGCTAGCCTCGGTGGCCCATCTTCTCCATCCCATGGGGGCTCTGAGCACCCTCCACTCTGACCAGGCATGGTTTCAGCCCTTTGGATTGACACTTGCCCTTTGTGCACAACTTGTCTGCCCACAGTCTCCTTCCACAGGACCCTGGTGTGGAAGTCCTTGCCTTGCACAGGAGACTGAATTGGACTGAAGCATGGTCAGCTGTGAAAATTGGCAACTTTACTTCAAGAACTAAGTCGAGTGCAGCAGTTGCACGCACTAGAGGAGCATGGGCAGGATAGAGCAGGCCTCTGGCACTGAGGCTGCCTTTGAGTCAGCAGGCATTGCCCCAGACGGAAAGGGCCATGGTAGACTGCAGCTTGCACTGGATCCTCTTCCTCCTGCTGCTCAAGCCTTTTTCCACGTAGGCACGTCAGGAGATCTTGCAGCAGATGAAAGAATTCCGCCAGCTTCTGACGTGGAAAGAGACAGGGCGTAAACCTGCCCAATTGTGTTGGGATTGGCCTTGGCCTCTGCACAGGGGTTGAGGTGAAGACTGGCTGTGGCATTGGAGCAGCCGTTGCTGCTGAGCTCAGTCCCCTCTGTGCCAGGATCCAGCTGTAGAAGTGCTGTGTGGAGGTGTAGACTCCAGGCCGCTTGACTCTCGCGCAGCCTTTCCCCCAGCTGGTCACCCCCATGAGCCAGAAGTAGTCAGCGTCGTTGTCTTTGCAGACGAGAGGACCACCTCTGTCACCCTGCAGCAGAGCAGAGGAGAGGTTACGGTGTTGTTGGGTGACTCCTGTCAGCACTGTGGCTAGCCTCTTTTTCTCTCCCAGCACCTGTCAGAGCTGTACCCACTGCACAGAAAGGCTCTGCTCAGGTGCTGGAGCCTGCAGAACCTTATCTGGGAGGGGCTGGTGGGCCTGCAAGGTCTGGCGCTCTCTCATCTCTGCCCAGTGATCCCGGATGTGTGGAAGAAGGACGTTCCAGGACTGGGATCCAGACCTCTGGGCTGGGGCAAGAGCACAGTGTGGCCTTTCTGGGCAGAGTGCCAGGGCTCTGGGACAAGCGGGGTGCTGGGCAAGGGCCTGCAGACAGGGAAGGGGAGGTAAGCCCTGACAGCTGTGGGGACCCAGCGGTGGGAAGGTGACTTGCCAAGTGCAGCACACACCAGGGTACGTTTGGGCGCTGGCGACAGGGTTGCCTGTGCTGTTGGGGGCTGGCATGGAGCACACTACCTGGAAGGTGTCAATGCCGCCCTGTGGATAGCTGGCACACACGTTGTGGGGCTGGATGGCCCCTCTGTACCACCGGCTGCTGTTGTAGAGTTTGACATCGATGAGGTGGACCTGGGCCTCCTGCAGGACAGCAGTCGATCCTCTAGCTGTGAGCACAGAAAGGAATTAACAGCCAGCAGCCCTTCTGTTGCCAGTTCTCCTCCCCTGTCTGGGTGAAGCCCTTCCCTAGGGCTTGCCTTTGCCCCTGCAGAGGCCTTGTGCCAGGCCTGCCCTTCCGTCTTGCTTTGGCTAATGGCTCAGGCCCATCTCTCCATGGGCGTACGTCTCCGCAGCCCGACTCTGGCTTTCACTGCTGCTGCTGCCAGGAAGCCCAGCCCACCTCCCCAGCACGTTGAGCTTGCCCTCAGGACACGAGTACCATTTGGGAACTCACATCTTGCCGTGGTGGCACCCCAACCACTGATGTAGCAGCTCGTCAGCTCTGACACTCTCAGCGAGGCGTCAGGCACGCAGGTGAGATATATGTAGTAGCCGCACTGGACAGGCTGGTCCAGTTCCAGCAAGGTGATATCGTTCATGTCCATGATGTTACTGTAGCATTCGTGAACCATCAGCCACTTAATGTTGCGCACTTGGGTCTCAGGGCCCAGTTGAGTCAAGTGGGTGGCCCCGATCACCATGCGCCACATGGTGATGTGCCTGGAAGGCAGATGGAGAGAGGGGTCAGAGGGAATGGAGCCACGTGCTGCAGCAGCCCTGCTGTTCCCTGCCTTCTGCTTCACAAGGCAGGGAGGAAAGCAGCGCTATGTAGCATGACTTGGGCACAAGGAATGTTGAGCTGGAGGCTGCTAGGAATCGATGGCACAAGCCCAGCCTTCACCAGAGCAGTCTCTCAGCTAGGCTCACCAGTCCCCAGGCACCAGGCATTCTGCAAGGCATCGTGATGGCAGTAGCTCGTGGTGCTGCGGACAGAGCGCCTGCTGGTGCTATGGGGATATCCCCCTTACCTGGTCCTCCTTACCTGGCCTTGATGAAGCAGTGGGCTGCTGTGAGGACCTGCCGTGGGCTCATGAGGGACCCTCCACACATGTGGCCCGTGCCTGTTTTCCAAGGGTTCTGGATGGTTACGATCCAGGGCCAAGCCCCTGGCTGGGCACCTGTGCCACCCGTGACGCACAGTGTGCCGTAATGAGATGCCATGGGCCAGAGCCCACGGGTCCCTCTCTAAGAAGCAACTCATGAGTGTGCTGCTTGACAGTTTTGCTGATGTTGAGGCTGAAGGTCAGCCATCTTCCCTCCCCACAGGGTGCTGCATGGATGACAGGGCCAGGGAACACCATCGGGCA